TGTCGAGTCTATTCGACTCTAAGTTAGTAGATTGCCCAATCTTCCTTCTGAGGAGTGGCTGGTGGGTTTGAACCGCCAGCCTTCTGGTTAGCAGTCAAATGCCTTAGGCACTAGCCACCAGGGCTCCTAAGATAAATGACAAGATAACACAAAATCATGTTTTTTCGAAAAATATTAAAAACAAACTCAAGGTAAACTGATTGCAAAGGAGTTGATTGTTTTCTGAGGAAAGAAGTTTCTTCCTAGAACCTAGTACTATTGCTTTGTGGATTGGGTGTTACTCTGCCTCATTTACAATCCTTTCACTTGCTTAGTTCCCATCTTTCTCTTCTAGCTTTGACCAGACTCTCCCAGCAATCAGCAGCCCACTGCCACTTCCTATCAGTGCTACAACCACCTAACCAGTATTGTTTAACGTTTAATTCTTTGGCAAGAACTGGGGTTAAGAAAAAATTCCAGCGTGTCTAGAATTACTGTTTTTCCTGGAAAGTCTTCTGATACATTTCTGACACATTACCCCATTTACAAACAGTGGCCTTAGATCATGGAAAAGCATTGCTAGGAGAAGGTTGCTCACCAGGATGGAAGTCATCTGAAGTACCTGGAATGAAATGTATCAATCTAATCAATGGGGAAAAGGGGAGAGATGTTGATACTCATTTGTAACATGTAACATTGGTGGTAATGCTAGAGCATTTTTTTGAGCAAATGGCTTTATTTTGATGATAAAACAGAAGAAATCACCTAAAAACAAAACCAAAAACCTGAAAACCACCATTCATATACTTCCAAGTAAATGGTGTTTAAAAGAGATTTGACAACAAACTAGCAATATATTTAAGGGTCACATTCCCGAAATCAAGAAATCTGTCTTTTGTAGATTTGCTCACTTACGATTCCTTGTTTTCAGGAATAGCAACAATATTATCAATACTAATTAACAATACTCTCCAGACATACTAGCCTTCATGTGATCCTTCTAAGTAAAACTGTTGCTTTCTTTCACATGAGTTGTGATTAGTGACAATTCTTTCATTTGAATGGTCCAGATAAAAATCTGCTGGGGAATTATTGGAGAAGGCATCTGTTTTAAGTTGAAGTCTTACTTCAGCTGATTGAATTTTTTTTCTATTACCACAGCATGAATTATTTTTAAAAAGGCACCAGCTACAAAATAAGAGCTCTGATTCCAAACCTGTACGTTCATTTTTTTTTTCTTTTATTGTGGTAAAAACATACACAACAAGACATTCACCAACTATATATTCATTCTTCAAATTATAAATCTGTAATTTATACCTGCATAGAGGATAAGTATACTTTCTTATTACTCACAATGTTTCAATAAGAATCTCCCAGAACCTCTTGCTTTCATTAATCTCGTCAGTTCATACGGTCTAGGACATACTGGTTTAGAGACTATTGAATTAATGATGTGTGACTCCTATGGTGAACCTTATGGAGAAATTTGTTATGTGTACCAAGGAGGGTTCAGTGGAAAGATAGGTTCAGTAGAATAGCTCCCTTTTTTCTCCATCTGCAACCTGTTTTTTTCTCATTTTATCTGCTGTTTTAATACCATGTAAACCTAAACTAAAGGTAATAAGAAAGCAGTAAATTTAAATAGCCAATTATACCCTCTATTTAACACAACAAAAACTTGCTTGATTTTTCAAGTGAAATAGTGGGTGGAAATATCTTTTTTTTAATTGTGATTTTGATGAAAATTTACAGAAAAAAATTGGTTTTCCATTCATCAATGCGTATATATTTTGTTTTGTGACATTCAGTTCAGTGCCCACAGTACGATAGCACTCTTCCCAGTTCCTCCCTGTGTTTAACATTTCCCTTGGTCCTCCATTCCTATCCCTTCCTTCCTTCTGAGCTTTATCCCTCAGCAAATACTGCCCTTTTGGTCTCATCTGCTTGTTTGTCCTGATGAGTAGTATCTTCCTGGTATTATTGTTCAACTTGTAGGCCTGTCATTTGGCTGAAAGTTGATCCACAAGGCTGAGTGTGGTACTTGGCTTGAAAGGAATGGGGGCATCTTTAAAATGTTGACAATTTCATATTTTTATCTCTAAATAATACCTTATATTTAATCTCTAAGTAATATTTTACAGTGTACTG